CATCCATCCATCCATCCATCCATCCATCCATCCATCCATCCATCCATCCATCCATCCATCCATCCATCCATGCATAACAAAATGGTTTACTTTCTTTTAAATGTATCATTTTTTTTATGAATATTACTTTTATTTCAGTATTTCTTATTTTTTTTACTGGCTTTATTCATACCAACTGCCTCCACCTGCTGTCTGTTATTTTCCTTCAATTTACAGCCAAGTTCCTTTTGTAAGAGCCTGACTTGCGTTTTCTTAGGAAAAAAAAAAAAAAAAACCTTTCCATCAATGACCCCACAGATGATTTTATCTAACAAACCATCTGGAGTATCAGGAAAACAGACAATGACGCCAAACTTTACATTTAAGTGACATTTTAATAACTGTACTGAGTCATTTTTGCTTCAGGTATTAAGTTATTTGAACTAATTTCCAATTACAGCAGCGCTCGTTGGTGATTAATATTTGCTTATATTTTGGGACATCTTTTTCTGTTCTGAGTGGAAAAGGAAAGCCTGCAGCAAAGTCTGCAGCCAAGTTTGGAGCACAAAACACAGACGCATCATGACAACGTGCCAAGCACAACACTGATTAACCCAGGCAGTCTGATAGGAAATAGCAGGGGAGGGGGTGGGCTGCAAAGCCCCATGCAAGTGGGCTGGCCAATTCAGAGACTGCCGATTGGTTTATTGATGAAGTTTAGCTGAATTCATTGACTAGTATAACCCATTCGAACTGCAGTGAATAACTTGGAGGACATATTAAGATACCTAGTGATTTTTATGCATAAAAAATAAGGTGGCAACTAATCTTTCACTTCCTTATCAAACTGACTGAAGCACTACCCTGATCAGGAAGCCGTTGGATCAAGTATGAGAAAAATTCAACTTGAAAACCAAAACTGCCCTTCACAACATTTTTTCTCTCATCATCCTTGACAACAGATCAAGAAGCCTGTTTCAACTGAGGAACATTTCCAAGCATTCAAATCTTGTTCTGAGAACTGACTTGAGCTGATCATTCATGCTTTTATCTCATCATGCCTGGATCACTGGAACAGCATGGTTGCATAATAAAATATTAACATGCAATCCACAACACAGCAACAAGGCTTTTATTGAACACAACAAAGAGACGACACATCACTTCCTTTTTGGAGTTTTTTGTTTGCACATGCTCCCCATGATAAGCCCAGAATTATTCACCCCTGCTAGTATTTTTGATTGTTTTATTTTTTGTTTTCTCTCAGTGAGAGAGAAGTCTTTCATATGAGGTTGGAAGGCCTTGTTTCAATCATCCTAATCTTTAGCTCCCCTCCACAGATTCCTTACATTTAAACCTTCTTAGTAAATTTGGATTTACTTTTACGAATCTAAATTAAGATATCAGTCCTCAATTTTAAAACACCTTTGTGGCATCGCCTCCTCTATGTGCAACCTCTCAACATTTCATATTTCTTGTTGTGATCTGAAATCATCTGATCAGAGATCCTTAGGTGCACCAAAGATTCATTTTTAAAAACATCTTTCGAAACCGGTGTGGAACATGTTTCTTCCCTCTTTTCAATGCCTTTCTTCTCGAACATTCTCTCTTCTCCAAAGGGAAACTTAAGTTTTGTCAGAATTTTAAATAAATACACCTACATTCTATGATGTTTCATTTCATCATTAAAACCTTTTGGTTTTAGCCGCCCCTTCGTCATTTTGTATGCAAGCTTCTCTGAAGCTTTTTGTGCTTTTCCAATCGTGAAAGGTGTAATGTACGCATATTTATGTAGTAAATGCAGCTTCCACCATGTTATTGGTTGATCCCGTGTTTGCATAAACAAGCAGTTGATATTTATTCATCCAATTATCAATTTGAATATGCAGAATTATTGGTTATAAGGAGAGCTGCTCGGCTCAGACTACAGTCTGACTATCATGTTTGCTAATGAGACTTGTTGTTTGATCAGACAGCAGGTAGGGCAGGAATCCTTCAAACTATAGCTGAATTGGCATGAAGATCAAACCGGTTACGTTTTTGGGCCAATTAACATGAAGGAATGAGGTGGGAGGACAGAAAATGAGGAGAAATTAGAAAACAGAGCTTATGTTGGAATACGCAAAAAAAAAAGTATGAGAGAATAAAAGAAGATGATGTTAAGTGTGGGAGGGAGGTGAATTGTTCAAATTAGAACCAGAGGGGGATTACATGAAAATAGAAGCACAGCCATGGATATTCCACTAATCATTAGGTTTTGGTGGTTTGCTTATTTCAGGAATTATACAAGTACACAGAAAATGTTCTTAGATTCTTCTACCTTTTTTTCCAAATGTGATCGTATACAAAGGAAGTATTCAGAATCTAAAGCCTAATTCTTGTTTCTTAGAACCTAAAATAAGAAAACAATGTGATTGAATTAAAAAAAAATAATAAATAAGATTCAAACTGGTGCTTTAAGTGCAAATTCCAAGTGTGAACAAATACATTTCAAGGAGGAGAGAGTCAGAGCTCCTGGATGCTTTTAGCGAGCAGCTGTCTTTGCAGGCTTTAGGCTGCTAACCTGCTGTTGACTCACTCACAGGTGGCTATTTGCTTGGGGACCAATCCCAGAGAGGCAGGTGTTGGTTTTGGTGGAGCAGGTGCAGATGTTGTCCATTTTGTGAAGAAGTTTTTGCACCTGCAAACTCGCTGATGTTATTGGTTTTTGAATTTAGGTTGCCGTCTGGCACAGTTTTACCCTACCTGCAATGTTCAGGATTCTTTCTCAGTTTTCAGCTGCACAGAAACAAATAGACTGTTAGATTTCTAATGCACAGGAATGTACTCTTTTTTTCCTTTTTTATCACTGAAAGCTATACAAAACAAAATTATCTTATCTCTATTACGCTATTATAAGAATACAAATAAAGATTAATCACAGAAAGTTTTATCCTAATCTGAATACTTTTATACTTACTGTCCATACCTTGCTTAAAAATCTATGGGATTGGTAAAATATGGAGTCAAGACCAATAGATTTGGATAAGCAATTATTTTCAAGCTTCTTTTGTAATAGTAAATTTTCTCAAAAGATAATAAAACAATGTAAAAAGATTACATGGTATTAAAGATGGCATTACAGACCTATCTAGCAATGCCCTTTTTAATAATAATAAAAAAAATCTTTCTAAGCATTTAAGGAAGTAGTATTTATAGTAAATGGTAATAGATTCCAGTGACTGGGTATCATTTCTAGTCAGAAGTGATCAGAGTATTTTTTGTTGGTATCTCTCAAAGTTTTTCAAGAAAAGAAATGAGAACAAATTAAACAGGTGCCAGTTATCGGTACTGAGGTTTACCAAGGTTATAAGATATTATGATTTTAAAAACCACAAGAGTTTTTTTTTTATTTCTTTAGTTATTTGGTCGTGTCACTCCCAAGGTTTAAAGCCACAGCGTTTTTTTTTCTAGTTGTAATGATAAAGAGGACTCCACTTCCCCATCACCTCAGTTTCAGTACATTGGCTGAAAGAATACTATAAACCAGGGTTAATAAACAATATTAACTCTAAAGAATATAATATTTGGAATGGATGGATGGATGGATGGATGGATGGATGGATGGATGGATGGATGGATGGATGGATGGATGGATGGATGGATGGATGNAATAGCTAATAATACCTTCATAAACTCTAAAGCAAATTTTTCTATGAAAAATTCACTAGCAGAGCTCAGATTGAATTTGTGAAAAAAATAGAAATAATGTTTTTAAAGAAAGATTACGCATAAATATCCATCACTCCTCCTTTTGCCTTTATGCTAATATTGCAGTTTAGCTATTTTATTTATTCTGCATCACATTACCTTAAGAGATGAAAAGCTTTTCTCACTTTTTTCTTCATTTCATTATTCTGTTTTCTTAAATGTCACTGACTAATAGGAAAAACAGAGCAGGTGACCCCGCTATTAACACTATGAGGTATGATGAAATATATTTAAAAATATATTTTTTAACACTTACATCTTATTATTCTCATTTTGATTATAAGGTTAATTACTTGTATATATGTTTTTTCATTAGAATAGATGACCTTCAAAGGAATTTTTCTTTTTTGAAACTTTTCCCACCTTTATAAAGATAGAAGGAATGGAGCTGCTCTCTGCACTTTCCAATAAATCAAAAACAGATGCAGGAGTGCCTCTATCTGACATCAACAAGGACACAAAATCTGTATTGATTTTTTTTTCTATAATCTGATGAATGTTTGTCTCAAAAATGCCTTCACCTTGATCTCATAGATCTTCAGCTTCCTCTTGATGCTGGTGTTTTCTCGCTCCAGGGTGGCCAGTCTGGTTTTGATTTCCTGATAGGCGGAGATGAGTGTGAAGTGGGAAGCAGAGTACACATCGTCAGTCGGAAGAGGCGAGGTCCTCCACGCCATGGTGCCGCAGCCATCCTCCTTTAGGCCTCCTGCGTCGCCGCCTCCTCCTCCCAGCAGCCCCAGCTCCCCTCCTCCGAAAAGAGACTGCATAGCTCTGAGCCTCAACCTGAAAGCAAACCATTTTGGGATATAAATTATTTAAACATCAGACCTTTTTTTATACTACACAAAACCTCCAAAAACCAGACTTAAATAGTGTTGCCAGGCTACATATCCTGAAAGCACCAATCTGCTCCGCAGAAAAAATTAAAAGTGAACTAAATAATTTGATGCTCACACAGTAAAATGTTCCAACTGAAAAAAAAAAATATTAAAATTAAATTCCGCCACCAAACTATTGCTAACTGGTCTAGTATAAATAAAAAACAAAACAAAAGGGAGCAAAATGGCTTTTAGAGGATAAAAACATTATTTTCATGCATATGGGTGGCAAGTTTTGATTAGAACTCCTGGAAAGAGTGAAAAACCCTGATGAAGATCTTTTCTACGCTTGCAGCCAGTTGTAGCTGGTTTGGCTCCTGAGTGGCTGTTTGCAACCCACAATAGATCAGGACTGCAGCAGAACTAACGTCAGGGTGAATCCGGCGTAATGAGTGTTTATAGGTCAGTTTCTATATGTGAATCGTTGTTCTTCCTGCTTTTTTTATTGTCATTACGCATTACATATCCTTACATTGACAAGTACAGAGCAACAAAATTCATTCTCTGAATTTAGACAATCCCCTTGGGGAGCAGTGGGCTGCTATTGTGCGGCACCCGGGGAGCAGCGTGGGGTTAAGGGTCTTTGCTCAGGGACCCAGAGTGTCAGTCTAATATCACACACTGTATCTGCCCCATACGTGTTTTTAAATCCATGGTGCTAAGCTAACTTTTTATTTATTTTTTTTTTTTTTGAGCTGAGTATGACATTCTAATAACTCATAGTGTTTATTTCCTGGCATGTGGGTATTTCCTTTGCTGTGCATTCTTTTCTAGTTTATGATTTTTTTTTTTTATAGTCCCTTTAGTCTTGTGTACCTGTATGCAGTTAGGCATTTGCCTATTTGGCATGCTGTTGAAACTGCTGAAATTCCCCAATGCGTGACAAATAAATACGTTTCTATTCTATTCTATCCAACAGATTGTCAGAAAAGTCTGAAAGTGAGGATGTTTTTTTTGCTTTGTGTGTTTACAGAGATCTACGCACCGGTGTGCATCACTAAAATCCATTTCACACGGCTCACTGTTTGAACCTCTATGGTTACTCAGAACAGATTATAAACACAAATGTATCAGACTATGCTTTTTACTGATCATACTGAGTCAGCTGCACAACCTCTAAAGCCTGATATTGCTTTTGTGAGATAATCTACAACTAGGTGTATGTATATAAACCAGTAAAGGTAAAGTTTGTGCAATTTGGAGGCGTGTCCCTTTCTCTCCTACTGATAACCCTTACTGAACACATGCTGATCCTGTCATGCTACAGGCATGTTGCAGTATTCATAATTGGATGATACCCTGTGCTGGATTAGAAACCCTTTCCAGGGTTTACCCCACCTTTCACCCATTGACTACTGGACTGCTAGCGTCACCCCCACCATGCCAAATGCTCCTCCCACTTCATCCACCCTGATAGATGAAGTGGGAGGAGATGGGTGGAAGGCTTGTTATCTGCATCTGTGCACACAGCTCCCCTTACAGACAAACATGAATCTGTTTTTACTATTATGTTAAATAACCCACTTTGAGGAAACAGCAGGTTTTTCTGACTACTTATATTTATAAGCACATAGCAGCCAGAATAACTTACCAATATGTTACCTGAAGCACTGCCAGCCCAATGTGGGTGTGATGACATTTTGGGCTTTTAAACTTCTTTTTTATTAAATGCCAAATACTGAGGTGAATGAAACAGTCTCCAATTTAAAGGTCTAACCTGTTTGCATTACCTACAATAGTTTCAGTTTCGGTTGAATAACCCTTACAAAAACAGAGTATTTTTCAAGTTCATGTGCTTTTTAAGTATACTCAAGGATACATTGATGCAGGTACACTACAAGCTGAGTCTTGAATGTTACAATGTGAATAAGGTATATATTTTTAGTAAGCTTCAAGTTTACTTTAATTGAAAACTTGGGATTTATACTACTGTATACTTAAATACGCTTTAAAATTTGAACTTGCAGTTGAGCTAGTTTTGGTAAGGATACTTACAAGTCTAGGGCAGATATACTTTTATTATACTTTTATGTAAGTCATCTATAGTTAACATAAACTGTAATGCATATCATTGATAAGTACGCTACAAAGAACCTGAAAGTAGACGTGCTTATTTGTGGTTTAAAATTAGTATGTTTACTGTATCTTGCATGCACTACTTTTTGGTAAGGTTTTGTATGTAACCAGTACTTAAACTTAACGTGGTTCTTTTTTTTTTATGTAAATCCCTTTATTGTCCCACAATGGGGAAATTCACTCTCTGCATTTGATCCATTCCCTAGGGGAGCAGTGCGCTGCCATTGTGTGGTGCAGGTGTGGGGTTAAGGGTTTTGCTCAGGAACCCAGAGTGGAGGCTATGGGGATCGAACGAGATACTTCGAACCTTCTCAGAGCGCAAGTGCACTGCTCTAACGACTAGGCTAACACCTCCTTTTAATCAGACTAATTAAAATATGTGTTCACTTCATTTTCTTGTTCCATTTCATATTTAAAAAAACACAAACATGGGACAGCCTAAATTCCCCATGCAATCATGGCATGATGAATGGGCAGGCTGCTTAGCCAATCACGCTACATTGCAGCTAACAATCCTGATGCCCTAATGCCTCTGGGCACCGCTGTCAAAAGAAATAAATGACACCTGTGGTTTCACCTCCTTGTTTTAATACGGCTATGGATGAGAAATGTGCACCAGATTCATGCAGGAAGTGGCGAGGGGCACTGAGATCTGACGGTTTATGGACACAGAGGTAGTTACACAAGCTGATTTCTGATGAATATTGGAATAGATGTCATCCTGACTCCCAGCTCTGCCTTGTGAGTCAGCGGTTGCCTACTGAGCTATTTTCATCTACTCCCTTCCTCCACTGTGCTTTTTTTTTTCTTAGATCTCTTAGAGTGAGGGGAATAAAGCCTGGGCCAATCCACATCTTTCTTTAGCGCCACTTTAGGAGGATGATCCAACAGCACTCCCACCCGCTCAGGCTCACACACAAGCTCACAGCTATGCACACAAAACAAAAAGAAGAGTCGACTGAAATACCATATATGGACAAGCAAAAAAGGCCTGTTTGATCGGACACACTGCAGAGGCATGCTTAATCATCTCTCAGCAGGGGGTAAAACTAAATACAGCAACATAAAAAAAATCTAAAAATGTAAAATATTCTTTGTCACTTTTTTAAAAATGTTAAAGTTTTGCTTTCCTTAAATTCATCACATATAGAGTCAACAAGTCTAAGCCTTTATGTAATTTTGATGATTTTGGCTTATGCAATGGGGATGACTGCTAACTTGATAGTTGTCCAGCAGACAGTCAGCGACACCATTTACTAGAAGGATAAGCCACAAAAGGACACTACTAAAGACTGTTGCATCCAAGTGTTTTCAAGAATGGCTGAGAGAAGTAAAACGTGGTAGAAGAAGAAACATACACAACAGGGATAACTGGTCTGGGGAGGATTGTGAAGAAAAAGAATCAAGAGTTTGGAGGAGAATCCTGAGGCGTGGATAGTGGCTGCCGTCAGAGGATCAAGAGCCATTACACAGAGATGCATAAAGGGCATGTAAAAAAAAAAAAAAAAATCATCCTCCAAGAAAATTGAAGAGCTAAAAATGCACCTGACAGACATAGTATTGTAGAGGTTTCCCAATTTTCTTGTGGTCAAAATTAAGACTACATGTCTGCCTGCATCAAACATATTTAAACACCATTAAAACCTTTTTTTAAAGTTTTTAATTATTGTATGGAAGATACTGCGCTTTGTTTCCCACTTCCTGGATGAGCTGCCACACTCAGCAGCATATATGTGTCCAGCTTGCTCAGTAAGACGGAGCTCTTACATAGTCTGTGCAATGAAGTACATGCAAAGTGCAGAAAGGGAATATGCATCAGGTTACTACGACTGAACGCAGACTAGCAGTAATGGAGCAACATTTGGTGCCCTTAACTGTGGAATTGTGCAACATGGATGCCTCTGCTCCTGAGTCCCTCAAAGCAACAGTATAGACTCCTCTATATACACTTCCCAGCTGATGACTGGTCTTGTATAAATATAGGATCTGTTCTGGTTCTATAGTTACTGAATATAAAAAAAAAATCTGCAGCTGCACCTCTTAAATACACTTAAATGCAACTTGGTGGTAAAAACAAGACCAACACTTAAGAAGTCATCCTGATGCATTAAAGCGTATTGAACACTGCGAAAACCCCCCTTGTGGTGTAAAGTTAAAAAAGCAGGTATGCAGAAGCTTAAGATGTCTGATTATAAGGTTATTGAGAAATGAGACTCAGTAGAGCTGGTGAGATGTTTTTATCAAGTCAATATAGGAACTGTAGAGAATTCATTTTTTTTAGTCTTGCCTCTGCAGCTCCCAGAACAGCCTTATTGTTTTGGTGGCACATCCTCTGCCAGTGCACATAACAAGCCACCTCCATGGAAACACTGGAATGAGAGTTTTTTATAAGTTATTTTAATTGTTATTTTTTCTGTTTTGTTGTTTGTGAGTTTGTGAATTGTGAGTCTGCAAAATAAAATCAATAATTAAAATACCCTACTGTCCTCTGTGGGGTAATTCAGGTGTACAGTACCATCACCAAAAGGCGGTCAGATGAAAGCAAGCAGAAACACAAACGGTTAAAATCATAAAAAACATGAAGTAGGTAAGTAAGTGAAGCCACATTTATAAAATAAAATAATACCATGCAATATAGCAAATTCAGATTAAAAGAAATAAGCAACTGATAGAGCAACATGCACAAATGGATATGCACATATGTGCATCAAAACCACCATAAGCCACATCGTATCAATGCCACACATTGAGATTTTAAAGAATACTGCATATCTTTTATGGACCTTATAAATATTAGATAAACCAAAGCAAATTCTATCTGTCCTGTAA